CGTGTGTGTGTAATTAAATGTGATTTACGATTGTCATGATTGAGATACAAACAGCGCCATTGCACATTACATACCGCATAGCTGGGGCAGAATGGAAATTTCCATCTCTTTGACGATTGTACGCTTGCTGCCGCCGTGCCGCGTGTAAAGCTGCACGAACACCTCACGCCACAACTGTAGAAATTGTGGCGTTACATGGAGCCATCGCTCCAATGCCTCATTGTGCAAAGTGTGCTCCAAGTCTTTGCTTAGGCTACGCATCAGTCCCTTGGCAAAGCTGCAGAGCGAACGCTCTGTGGTGATAAAGCCCAGGTCTTGCCAGTCCTTGATATTGGAGCCCTTCAAAGTGCTCTCCAGTTGCACATAGCTCTTAATGACTGAGTGTATATACTGCAAACATAATAGGTAATTAATTGAGAACTAACTCAGTTATCATGAGATAAGAGCGCACCTGCTCCAGTTTTTTGCTGCTCAAACTGTCGTTGGGGCTGCACTGCAGAGATGACAGCAACATTTGCATTTTCATCTCAATGCTGCCGCGCTCCATAATGTAATAGGGCTCGCCAAATTTCTTCAATGGTATATTGATGACTTGCTGGCCCGGCTTCGTTGGCGTAAATAGATATTGAGCCGTGGCCTCGGCTAGCGAGCGCTCGATTGTTTGGGACCACGCTTCCTATTTTGTTCGGGCAATCCAAAACACACACAAACGAAAAACATACACAAAAATAAACAAATTAATGCGATCGTAAGCAAACTATTTGATTACAGAGCTAGAGGGAACGAGCACACTGTTAATATTTGATGACAATTGCTGTAATCGCCACGTCCATTGTTTATCACAAATTCAATTTCGTAGCCATAATTATGTGTTGGCCCCCATGGAATCACGACTAATTCGTTAGCAAGTAAATTAGACGAAGCTAAATAAACAGAAAGTCAGCCGCAAATGCGCTAAGCAAATAAATTCGTCTAGCCAATGACAAGATTGCAAAACCAAAAACGTATTCAGTTAATGCAAAGTGTTATTGATAACGATAACTAACATAGGCAATGGCTTTTCACGCACATACGCACATACAATATATCATCTATGGAGTCGCATGACACTGTTGCGGCAAACCTTGAACTTGTGACCGAAACCGAAGGCAGCCAAACATTGATTTGTTGGCCAAAAATGCACAAGTGCAACGACCGAATAGCGTTCACCTACCACAAGTCGATCTGAGGTTAATTTCTCTAGTGCGCCGCCAGATGCGTTGCGGTATGCCGTTTCTAGAAAGCGCAGCTCCTCATTTGTGTATACATTGTCCGATTCTCTTTTGCCACTACTGTTTCCCATAGTTGTGTGATTGTACTTTATAGAGAGTAAATACGCTACTGATGCCTCGAATTTAAATTGAAAAAGAAGAACACAACAAAGACTTCATACAGCTGTTGGGCAGTGTGACCACAATTTAGCTGCATCAAAATGCTGCCAAGCCCAATTCGCCGCGCCGCTGCCGCCGCAAACTCTGCTCATTTTTGCGCACCGCTGGAAATGCTACAGTGCGCCGCACCGTTTATTATGTCAAAAGTCAAAATCTTTTTTGCCATCAATCTTGTAGAAGTAGTTAGTAGCATTTTATTTTAACGAAAATATGTTGAAATTAATAATATAGCAGCAGCTTATATAATCAGAATGCTTTACAAAAAGTTCTGTAGCATTTAATCTGCCGCACTGCAGTCGCTGCCTTTGCTGTCATTTTCTCTTTTCTGTTGCACGTGCATATATGTATGTATGTATGTCTGTTGAATGTATATCGATTTAGAGTTATCGTTGATGACAGCAATGTTATTGATAACGGACTACTCGTCGTACAGTTTAATCTGTCTTTCAACAACTCATTAAGTACCGAATTGCAACGATAGGAATCAAAATCCACCTGATTTACAAAATAAATAGACAAAAATTGAAATAGATTGAACCGAACGGTCAAAGAGAAACGATTGAAAGCATAATCATTTCGCTTTGAGTGCGTCGCAATATTTTTTGTTGCTAGGTCGAATTTGAATGTGACCAAACGATTCTTGTGGTAAATGTTTATATTGGTTGTCCTATATATTTGTTACATGTCAAGTACTAGTAGAATACCTTTCCATCACTTGGTAAATTTTGAATATTTTACATACATATGAAAGTTTTCTTGGCAAAAGCTCTGTCAGCATCAAGTTTTTTAGCTTTTCAGCATCAGTCAAAGGTGACCGTATGCAAAAAAGGTTTAATAATTTCGCCGCGCCACAACCTCATTGGGCGCACTATTTAATAATATGCGCCCTTTTCCTTTTAAATAGTCTGATTATGTTAATATTGTTGTAGTTGCCGTTTTCGGTAGATATTTCAACACGGAAGCAGGTGCTTCCACATACGCCAATATAACATGAACATTTGTAAACGTTGCCTTGGAAACAAATGTTATTTGATCGATTTATTTGTACGAATATGTTGAAATTCCTTTACGTAAACTACACACAAATTTCTGAAAATTTGACTTCAACTACAGCAACAGGCTCCTCATTAATTACTTGTGTATGAAAGGTTGTATATACACATATATTTATAAATATTTAAATGCAAATATATACAACATATTGATAGCTTGTGCTCCACAATGATTGGCACCGCCGGGCAGCGTCGCCCGCGAAAGATCCGCGAACAATGTGGCTCCTGTCCGGATCGCTTCGCCAGGGACAAGCGTCAAGTGGTGATGAATGATTCTGATACCACAGAGGAGGAGTCGTCAACGGACGAGGAAGAGCGCTGGAAGGATGTGGCGCGAGCTGCCGAAATTCCTGCCGAATATTACAACATCCAGAAGCTGGTCAAGTACATCAAAGCGGGCAACCAAACGGCCACAATTGTCAGTCTGTGCTGCCTGCAGGACTACGATCTGCGCGTCCAAATCAATCAGTTCGCCATCCAAGATATTGGTGGCCTGGATGTTTTGGTCAACATACTGGAGTGCAACGATACCAAGTGCTGCCTGGGCGCCCTCACCGTGCTCGCCGACATAACCCTCAATATTGACATACGGAAGACGATCGTGGATCTCGACGGCATACCGCTGATTGTCGACATTCTGAACTCATCCATGAAGGACTTGAAGACCATGGCCGCCGAGACCTTGGCCAATGTCAGCAAGGTTCGCCTGGCTCGCAAATACGTGCGCCAGTGCGGCGGCATCTCGAAGCTGGTCGATCTGCTGGACATCAAAACGAGGTAGTATAATGAGGTAGCTATATTCGGGCGCACATCACATCTGTTGTATATATGAACTTTTCGTTTTCGATGCGCTGCAGTATATTGCAGACGCCACGCAATCAGCTGACCGCCGAGGAAATCGAGTTCCTGGACATGGCCCGAGCCGGCTCGCGTGCTCTTTGGACGCTGGCCGACTCCAAGCACAACATGGAACAGATGCGAAAGAGCGGCATTGTACCCCTAATGGCCAACTTGCTGAAGTCCGTGCACATTGATGTGGTCATTCCGATTATGGGCACCGTGAAGAAATGCTCGTCCGAGCCGAAATTCCAGCTGGCCATTACCACAGAGGGCATGATAGCGGATATTGTGACCCACTTGAACTCGGAGAACATCGATCTGAAAGTGGAGTGCAGCACGGCGCTCTACAAATGCGCCTTTGATGCAACCACCAGGGACCTGGTGCGCGAGGCGGGCGGACTGGCGCCGCTCGTCAGCATCCTGAAGGACAAGTCGGTGCGGGACAATAAGCCGTTGATCAGAGGCGCCACTGGCGCCATTTGGATGTGCGCCATGTCCGATGAGAATGTCGAACAATTGGATGACATGAATGTTGTACACCATCTGGTTGGCCTGCTCTCCGACGAGTGCGATGAGGTCCTAACCAATGTCACCGGCGCCTTGTCCGAATGTGTGCGCTTCAAGCAGAATCGCAAGGCGGTGCTCAATTCGAATGGATTGCCGGCAATGGTGGCACTGCTTAACTCCTCGCACGCGCCGCTGCTCGAGAACTTGGCCACGGCAATAAAGGAGTGCGCCGAGGATCCAGAGAGTATGCGTATCTTAGAGCAATTGGATGCAGTGCGTCTGGTTTGGTCGCTGCTCAAAAATACGAGTCCCCGCGTCCAGGCGAATGCCGCCTACGCCATTTGTCCGTGCGTCCGGAATGCTACGGACTCCGCTGAGCTTGTGCGCAGTCTGGTCGGCGCCATGGAGCTGGTAGTGGGTTTGCTCAAGTCCAAGGAAATCATGGTACTCTCGGCTGTCTGTGCGGCAATCGCCACCATCGCCTTGGACCAGACCAATCTGGCCATTCTAACGGATCTGCGTGTCATATATAAGCTCGCCGACTTGGTCAATACAACGGATGATATGCTGCGCATGAATCTAGCGGCTGCCGTCGCTGCTTGCGCCTGTTTCGGCAACAACACGGAGGAGCTGGGACGCCTGCGCACCGTCACACCCATTGTCACCTACATGACCAGCGAGAATCCCATGGTGCATCGCACCACGGCCATGGCCCTCGAGAAGCTATCGATGGATCCACAAAACTGCATCACTATGCACCAGGTATGCATCCATGTGCCTTGGCTGCTACTCTCGCTAATCCCCAATCCCTGTCCACAGAGCGGCGTGGTACCCTTCCTACTGGAGTGCATTGGATCCACCAATAAGGAGCTGCAGCTGGCTGCCGCCGGCTGTCTGCGCAACATACGTGAGCTAGCTCTGCGCGCTGAGGAGTACATGCTCAAGATAGACGATGATTAGGCCCGTTTGCTGTGATCGACCATCGGCCGTTTGGCCTAGGTCGATAACTGTATTTATGCTTTTACTGTTTAAAATTGTTGCAAGTGCAAATATATGTATGTAGCCCTGATTGGGATTTGGGAGGGGATTAAAGCTGCTCGACGTTGATTCTACTCCAATTAAGATATTCCCAGACGATACCTGTCGATAATTGTATACATACATAGGCATATTATATTCAACATTTGGCTAGAGATATATTTGGCGCAACATTTGGACTATCTAAGTGAGTTTCAGTAGCTGGCATTGCTGCCTCTCGTCGAGATGCTCATGCGGCGCTCGACGCGATTTGTGTGCGGCATTAGGCAGCCGGGCGGCGGGTAGCGCCAGCGTCGGGGCCGGGACAGCAGGGTGCCATCGGTAGAGGCGCGATTCCGGAACGGCGCATCGATATTGCTGTGTGAGCTGTCCAGGCTGCTGCTGGCTATATCGTCGGTGGATTCGGTGTGATCGGCGCTGTTCTCCTCTTGGCAGGCGCTGCCAATGACCAGGAACGAGCGCCGGGCCACGCCCAGCGGCGTCGCATCGTAGAAGGAGCAGGAGCCGGCATCGGGCGTCAGGTTGCCATCGGCCTCATGCGCCACATCGCTGGTGGAACGTTTGAGCTTTGGAAATTTACTAAACACACGCCAGAAGCGGAACACATCACGGAATACGTTTTGCACCTAAACAGTTGGAAGTGAAACATAACTGAATGCAACAGAATGGAATTCAGTTGAACGCACCTGATCGACGCTTTCTCTCACAGAAATCTCATGGAAACAGGCGCAGGAGAGCTCACGGAAGCGACGCTGTCCCTCCTCCAGACTGACCATTCGATCGCCAGTCTGATCTGTCTTGTTGCCCACTAGTATGACGGGGATGTCCAAGGCGTATTCCTGCAACGGCAAACAGATAGAGACACCCAGACAGAGACAGTGGCCAACGGCGCACTCACCTTGCTGGCGGAGCCCAGTTTGCGTCGTCGCTTGTTGTAGTTGATGAGAAACTTGAGGCGGCTGCACTCGTCGAAGGAGCACTTGTCTGTGATGGAGTAGACCAGAATGAATGCATCGGCCCAGCGTATATTCGACTCCAGGGTGACGCCGTCCAGTTCCTGCAGGATGTGAATTATTCTTCAGATGATTCTATTGAGGATGTTAGACAGACAGCACTCACATGCAGCTGCCCGGTGGCATCCAGTATGTCAAACTGTACCGACTCCTTGTCCAGCGTTGTCTGGCACGTATAGATTTTCTCCAAATTGGGATCGTATTCGCCAATGAAGCGACGCGTTATAAAGCGCACGACCATCGCTGCAAATGGAAGAGCGCAGTGAGCACAGTGTATTTGAGGGCAGCGAGGCGAGGAAGCACGCTCCACCTACCCGTCTTACCGACCCCACTCTGGCCGAGCACCATAACCTTCAGCGTCTTCTGTTTGTTGGTATGCAGACCCAGTTTGACCAGCGACGACTTTGGCGAGGTGGCATTCATTTTGCTGGGCCGTCAGCAGAGTCAGCTCGACAAGTCCAGGAGCTCAGGCTAAGACAATGACGTCTGACTCCAGATGATTGAAGTAACCTTTTTGAATGCCCTGCAAAGAAGATAATATAAATGGGATTTATTAGAGAACACGATTCACCTAATACGAAATCTATAAAATTATATTTACATTAAATGAAATTTTTAAATTTTATTCATTAATATTTAGGTATAATATATAAGATTTTAATAAAAAATAAATAACTTAAATGAAATCATCAATAAAAAAAATTCACCTGATATTCTACTTTAACTCAGATTAGGATATTGTAAAATATTTTATGTATTAAATATTAACTTTATTATTTTGAATGCTCCATTTCAAAGCGTCGCGACGTGTCGGTCAACTATCAATGCCTGCCGCTTTTACAGGGTATTTATTCACTTGGCTAGGCCTAAGCGTGTTTTGCATCTTTCTTGCCTTTATCGCATAGTTTGGCTGGCCGTTATCCATATGCCAGCTGTCCCACCTAAGCCAGACGAGACCTGCCCGCATTTTTTGGCCCAGTTCCAAACATTATTGCATACTTTTCAACAACGGCAGCAGCAGAAGGCAGCAAATATTTTATAGTACACGCCAAGGGGCACTACAATGGACGATTGCGTAGGTGTGAGTATATGTTTATAGCCTCCCTCTGTTTTGTCTACATGTGTGCCTGTGTGTGTGTGTGTGTGTGTGTGCTTGCCTCTGATAAGGTCAACAATGCCAGCAACAACTATGAAACATTTATTGGACACTTTTTGCGTCGTCGTCGTCGTCGTCGGCGTCATCGTCCAGGGCCAGAGCTATTGCCAGGGACATGGCCACAGACTTATTCATCATCATCATCGTCGTTATTGTCATCATCATTATGATGATAATCGCTCCACGCCCCAACAATTATCAGCAGATTACTTGGAAGCAATACACTTGAAAATAAATACAGTAAAATATCAATTAACACTTGAGCTACGCTCTCCTCCGTTTCCACGACATTAGGGACCAAGTGCATGTGGACATTCGTCTGATGCGAGCAGACGGCCGACTGCTGTTCGCCCAGCCAGCCAGCCATGTAAACAATAGCTGAGTACAACGAAACGAGACCGAAACTTTAATTCCCTAACGCCATGCGCCCTGATGGATGATTCCCAGCGGATGTCGAGTGCATAATTAAGAGATTAGGCAAATTACATATTTGTTAGCAAGGCAAATATACATATATTTTGTGCATAATTATTTTTATTTATTTTATTATTATTTATAAGGGTTGAGACATGCCTTCCACATACAATATCTTATCAGCACAACTATAAATAATAATATAATAAGACCAAACCTTTTGTAGGTAAACTTTATTCCATACCTAATATAATATTTTTTTTATACATAAACTAAACTAAAGTCATGGAAACTGTTGACTTATAGACTTTGCTTCAATTGAGTTGAGTAGTTCGTGGGAAATACTTATATCACTATAGTAATTGTACGGTTATTAAGTGCCCATTTATCAGAATCAAAGTGGAGATATTTTGAAGTATGCCCTAACTGATAAGTGGTTATTAATAGTAGTACTTTTCCTTGTAAGCTGAAATTCATGCTCAAGTCAAAATTTATTCTATCCTGAAACGCTTTGTATGAAAGGAATGTAAGAAACTTTTAAAGGGAATTACAGCACAATAAAAAATAGCTCATAAGTTAATCATAAGCTAATCTTCATGCTATGGGTAACAATATTTTTACTTAAGAACTTCTTCTTGAATTCTTCAGTTTTAATTAAAAATATTTAAAGTTCCACAGCTGCTTCTACATACTCGAGTAGAGAGTATTATAATTGCTTCCACACACACAGCAGCGCTCGTGTTGCTACATTGCGCATAAGTCACACACACACCGATACACTCTAAGTGTGTGCGTGTGTAAATATGTAAACAAAAGTATTAATGTCTGCTGTGCTGATAAATATTCATCAGGAGAACGCGCCAGCGTCAGTCGCAGCAGCAGCCACATGCATGCTGATTATGGCCGGGCTAGTTGAGTACGAGTAGACGGTGCCCGAGGCGAGTAGACTTTACCTTTTGCGACTTAAAACGCAGCTGCGTAGATTTTAATTAGTTGGATTTGAAGCTCAAACAAACGCAAAGCGAAAGCCGCCATGGAAACACACAGAGCAGCGCGCGTGTCTAATGGACCAATACCGATGGCTGGCAACACGGCGTATACGCAACGCATCGAGTGGCTCTCTCTCTCCCTCTCTCTCCCTTTCTCTTGCGACCTTCCTGGAAAGGGCAGTTGGCAGTGCATTAAGTTACTGCTACTGTTGCCATGACTTTAAAGCAACCTAAAAAGTTTGCCCCCACTGACCAGGCAACCAGGCGATCGGCCAAGTAGCCAAAAGCCCATTAGGACCGTCTGTGCGTCGTCTGCCATGTGGATGTTAAAAGCGCGTTTGTTTTGATTTCAATTTAATTACGGCGATAGCTTTTCTTCAGGGCCCAAACAGTAACATACGCTTTTTCTCACGATGCCCTCAAAGTGGTTGAGTGGTTGAGTGTCGAACAGGTGGTGCAGTCGAGCAAGGTGTAAACAACGGCAGCAGCAGCAGCAGCAGCAGCTTTTATTCACACTAATGAGTTCTAGGAAACATTATCTAACATCTCTAAGCATTAGGGGTATTCAATAATAAATATAAAAAAATAATAAATATTTTTTTTTTTTGTCAAATTATATATTATTATAAAACAATAATTATAATAATCGGCACTTACTTATAGCATTCATGAATAGTCCATGGGTATTATCAAATATTTTTTTAAATGCTTTTCGCTTCTTGAATACCCCTAGCGATTGCTGGCAACACCTTGGCAAGCGAGCAGTGGTTCAGCGCCACCGTCAATGGGACCTTGGCATAGACATTGAATTGGAAAACTTGTCTCCCTGCTGTCTCTTTTGAAAGGATGGCTCAGTGGATGGGTCTGTGTAATAATTTACGATGCTATCTGGCATTGGGTTGTTGACCTGCTTATGTTTATGAAAACATATTGCGTGCTAGCTGAAAATTGAGCTTAGATTGGGTTGCGTCTCGTTGCCTAGCACGTGGCATGCCACTCAAATTCCATTGAAAGCAAATCAACCTAACCACTGACCAATAACAAAAATATCAATAGCCAAAACAAGTGCACCGCCAGAGCGGCAATGGCGCTGGGTTGGTTTGGGTTCGGTGGGCCTCGCTTGGGTTGGGTTGTCATGGCACTGAAGCAATTCCGTTTCCCGCTTTCTCACTAAGGTCATGGGAAGTGCGGCAGTTGCGGCGCAACTCTCGCACAACTTGTTGACGACTGGTTGGAGTTGCCGCCCACTCAACCCACCGGCAGCACCCACAGGTACCCACCCACCCACTGGCCCCTCTGCTCGACAAGCGCATTTGTGCTTGTCATTTCAGTTCATTACCAGCTATCGACAATCGACCACTGAGTTAACATTAACAACAAGCGTGCTCAGCCTTGGGTCTCATTGCCAGACGACATGCTACCCTCTAAAAGTACCCACTGCATAAGATGTATGAGATCTACGCAGTTAAATGTATACAAGTATGGGTATATATGTTAGAAGATACCCTACTGATTCCTCTGTTGCAATTCGATAAATATCTCTTATATACCCATTCATTGATTCCGTTACCATTTACAGGGTATTCCACATAACTGTTGCCATTGACGGCCGCACTTGTTATTGGCCCTGAAATTGAAAATGCGAAATTGTTAGACTCAGCGTCGCGCCGAAGAGTTGGCGGTCAGCCTCCCGCATCCGCGCCCCACCCAAAACCCTTCTCCACTCAAGTGTTTGTTTTGTCGCGCATTTCCATGTGGGCATGAAAAACCTTGAATTGAGTATTAGCCAAAATATACAACAAAAATTGAATTTGAATACGGATGCCGAGCGTATAAATACAATCAAAGCCGCACGTCTGCAGAAGCATTGGCTGAATTTCATAATACACTTTAAGCAGGCCCAGTAAGACTACAGTTATTATATATGATATTACTTTGACGAATATTGTATATACTATATATGTACATATCGTAAATATAGTAGGTGTATAAAATTCTTTCCATCTAGCAATGTATATTTTAAGCCATTAGAGCTGGCAATAGTTTTTTATTATTATTATTTTACTAGAGACTAGTGTGATAAGCTAATTTTCAGTTCTTGCTATATGGCTTCAAAAAAATGTTTTTTGAAGCACAATTAAGAGAAACGTTAGCTAATTATTTTTTTTTTCTGAGTATATAATAAATTTAAATTACAAAAAAAAAAATTAAATAAAATTGAATTTAAAAAAATATAAATTGTTGATTTAAATTCAAAATATTTCTATATAAATGTGGCCTATACAATTATACTATATTATTTTATTTTATTTAGATTTTTTATTTAAATCATTCTGATATATATATACAAAAATATCATTATACTAAATTAAAATTGGTTATAGTATTTAATTTTCTAGCATATTCGATTTGCAATATTCAAAGCAACTCCAAAATTGAAGAGTACCCGAGAGCCTGTTAAATATGTCTTATAAATACAAGTCAAGCATCATAAATGCCATTCGGGGCTGGCAGCTATGAACAGCCAAGACAGTGGCAATACCAATGGGGATAGCTGGTGTGCTGCCCGCCTACAACAACAGGAGTGGGTGATAAGCGATGCTTAACTAAAAATAAATGCAAACGGAGCGAAAGAAAAACTCATACTCATGGTCACTGAAGACTGCTGGGGAACAATGTGTGGAATATGATATGAAAACCACAAGTACAAACAATATAACACACACACATACATATATACATGTTAAGTATATGTGTGAGTACTGCTAAGCTACTGGAATTGGTTTAGTGGGTTAGGTGTTTTGTTTAGTTGCTTACAGCGTAAAATGGCACGTGCTTAAGCCCTGAAGCGGTTCGAGTCTAATAATATGAGAAGGTAAATGAAATTAATGCTAAATGGCTTCATTTGAGACTTTTGTGCACTTGCCTTTAGAGCAGTGCGAAAAGTTGCCATTGAATAATTGTTATAAAAATCGTGATTATTGAATATGGAGTTATATGTATATTAAGGAATGTCAATCATAGCGACTCATTATCATAACAATTCCCCATGAATACTCATCATCTTTCATAAAGGAGCCTCACTAAATGCTTATATATTGAATTCGAGCTCTCATTTCGTTTATATCCTCAGGGCTCTTGTGGCCATGGCCCAGCATTTAAATACTTTCGTCTGCTATGAATGGCCATAAGTGAGCGTCAACCTCAAGCTCATATGCTGAAACTGAATCAATATCTGTGCACCATAAAATAACATTGTATCCCTGTGATCCATGGCACATAATTGTATGCTTGGGCGTATTTGTTTTGATGCGCCGTCATACAGGTCGTATGCGCTATTTACTTTGAATATCAATAACACTTGTAGCTGGCGATGCGTTTACGATCGCAACACTCAATCTCAATGAACAATGAATTATGATATGGCGATTGTCATCCAGCTCCTGACCAAATCCCGATGACAACATCTGCGGTTGCCGGGCAATAAAAACGTAAGCGCTATTGTGTGCCGCTGTTGCGGGGATCTGCGGATTGTTGTCATTAACTAGTAAGTAGCTTTATAGCTGTGGGTCGATGTCTGGGCCGTTTGCAATTTGCCCCATTATATTGGCGTGTGGCAAACAAACCGAGCACGCACGCACACACACGCACACACACACGAACACAAGCACACACAGTTACATTGACCGCTAAGCTGTGCAACATATTCGCTTTTCACTTTTCGTTTTTTTTTTTTTCTTTTCTTTTTGCTCTGACCTTGCTGCCAAATTTAAAAGCAAATCTAACAAATCAAATCAACGAGTGTTCGCAGCGTAGACATCAACAATTTTGCTCAATTTCATATGTTTCTAATATTTTTCAAAGTCAAAGTCGCAAATCATACCGGAAAGACACGCAACTATCGTTTAGCTAATTAAAGTGACTAACAAGAGCATTTATAGGCGAGGTAATTTATAGAATATAAGCTCACTATATAAAAGTGCAAACACTCTTTGTGAATATTTTAAAAATTAAATTAAATTAAACAAAAATAAAATTATTGTGTATTTTTTTTTATTTTTTTTACTCTTTGTTAATAATAAATAAAATTAAAAAAAAAAAAACTATATTTTTTACAACAAATTTTTCTTTTAATGAGCTCAATTAATTTTTATTAAAAGATGAAAGTAAAATAGTTTTCTGAGCGAACTGCGGTTCAGGTTGTAATCGTTGCAACATAGGCTGAATACCTGTTTAAAAACTATTTTGCCACAAAAATTATGAGAGGGCACAAACATATCTGGTTAAATGATGTGCACGGCAGCAACCGCAAGTCGAGGTCGTTTGCTCTTAACATATAAACAACAGCGCAGCCAGAGGCGTTTCAAAATTGGGAAATATTTATGAAAATATTTATGGAAAAGTTCACACTGTTAATTGTTTATAATATCATATTAAATAATTTTAAAATTATATTCAAAATATAATATAAAAGAACAGCTCCCCTAAAGCTAATATTGATGACGTCACTGAGGAGGATTTTTTTTGTTTACATGATTAATCAAGTTATTTTAGAAATTAAATGTGGAACGAAATTCACTCTTGTAGCCCCCCACAAATTGATAGCGAGGACGCCACTGCGTCGAATTTTAATTGTTTACAAATTTAATCAAATAATTTTAAAATTATATATTGTTTATTTATCTCAAGAGTGTGTTATTGCACCACATTTTGTATACATCAATATATATATATATTATTTTCTTTTTTTCTATATATAGACTTTCATTTTTTTGAGAGCTAAAAAAACTAAGTATACGCACCGTATAATTGCAACAGGAAATTAATTATTTGTGCACAGACTTGAAATTGTGTTTCCGTTAACAAATTTGATTTTTATTTTTTATTAATTTTATTTATGTGATTTATGTGTCCTTTGATTGAGGAACCGAACCTTCGCGCTTAAGTTCCTGTCGCGTATTAAGCCGCAGGCACACAACAATTATGCTTTTATATTCACATGTTTAAACTGCCCGCAGTCAAGCAGTTGTTATAGCCGTAGCCGTAGCCGATGCCGTTTCACGATGCCGATGCCTGCTTATTGCGCCGCGGACCAAGAGGCCATTGTAAAACAATCATGAAAATCCGCAACAGGCCGACAACAATAACAACAACAAGAGCAATAAAGAAAAAACACAAAAACAGAATCCAAACCGCGCGGCGACTGCGCGACGTTGTCAACTAACGCGCGTTTGGACAGCTGTAAAGTAGGGGGCACGCCCCCCTTTGGCCCCTCACGCAGTTGTAAAATGCAAAAGAGTTTCGACACGGAAGTGCACAACACGCCCACAACAACGCGTCAACCCACACTCACACAAGAAACTGTTGTTCTTTCTGTTTTCTTTCTTTTTCGCTAAAACGGGAGTTTGACGGCGACGCGTCGAAGCGTCCGTTGCGCTGGCGTTGAAACAGGCGAATAAACAGCGCCAGCAGCAACAAAAACAAACTCAACCAATGCCGGCAGCAACAGCAACAGTAGCAACAGCAACAGCAGCAGAAGCTCCAACAGCAGCAACAGTTAGCATCGAATGGCTTGTAGAGATGCAAGAATTTTCGACTATATTTATTTAAAAATATATAATAATATATTTATTTAAATGAAAACGAACATAATAGTCTTTATTGAACTATAATTATATAAAATGCAAGCTATTATGTATAAGTGTAGGTAGTTTTTGGCGATAAACTCGCTAAACAGTGAGCATCTTCAATTGGTTAGCAGCATGTTAAGAGTGCGTTGAGCTTTTAACATAGCCATGTTAAGCGTTTGGTAAGCTTAACAGCACCTGTTACACGTACATCTGACGGCGTGTGAAGCTAAATTGTAATATGCAAATAAAATATAAAAAAATAGTTGTTATATTAAAAAAAATAAATAAATAAATTAAGAGCAGGCAATGCATATATTATTTCGCTCTCGGTTTGACCACTGCGGGAGTTGTTTTTCGCCTACTGACCTTCAGCTCAAAGTTTGGGGCCACACGTGCTCTATATTATATTTTGGGCAAAACGCAAACATTGTCTATAGCAGCGTTGATACGTATATGACTAATGTTAGTCCCAACACAGACTCTAGCACAAATTACATACACGTGCACCGGCCGAGGTGCAGTCAGAGGCAGAGGCGGAGGCAGAGGCAGAGGCATTGACAGACGCACGCGCACGTATAATGTAAATAGCTACGCACACACTGAACATATAGAAGGGCAACCTGTTGACATCGGCAGGTGGCCTGTTTTTACGATACCCTTATTAAGGATATTTCTGTTACATAGTATAATACACATACATAGGTGCATATTGCCCATAAAGCCTATAACACATATAGGTTATTGTTGGGCGACAAAAATTTGTTCGATTTGAATTAAGTCCAAAAATTTATATAAATATTAAATTATCTTCTTTCAGATTAGTTGAGCTGTCTTATAGGGCATTCATTTTTCGACGTGTCGTACATGTATTCAATATCATTTAATTTTGTCTTCTTCTTTTTTTGCGTTTGACCATCCATTGAGCACTTGGGCTATTGCATAGGATATGTGTGTGTTTAATTCTTAAGTATATGTACATATTTGTATCTTGTATCTTACTGTTAGAGCAGGAGACAACCGACCTTAATTATGTATAATAGATAACTTAAAGCATCAACAACTTAAGCAAGAAACGCCTAAGCTGCAGCAAAAGACTAACTTCAAGTATAATATTCAAAATAAACCAAAAAAAATATAAATATAAGGAAAATTATATATTATATATGTAAATGTTAATTATTTATTTTAAATACTGTTTGAACTATTATTTTATTTACTTATTATACATTTAAGCGTTAAAATATCTTTTAAATGAATTATACTAATATCCGAAATAAGATGGATTTATTATATATTCTTTAATTGTGACAATGATTTTAAAAATAAATATTTATATATTTATGTTATTTAAAAAATGTACTTAAATCAAATAAATAGTAATATACTTAATAAAATGCAGGCAAATATTTTTAATATCTTTTATGTCAGCTATTATTCTTGACAACATTAAAAGTTTTAGTAAGCAACAGTTATTAGATTTTAAATAAATACAATATCAATAATTGAATTCGTATTTAATAAAAGAGAAACTTCTGCAAGTTCCAAATATTTAAGGGTACTCAAAGAAATATATGTATGCAATTCCTGATATATATATTATATAAACTTCTATATATGCTATTTACCATACAGTTTGAAGAGTATATGGTACTAGTAAGTGTTACGTGAAGTGTTTTTAATCAGCTGTGGGCGTCAGATTTCGCTCACTAATTGCTTTAGACAAGCGCCTGTGCAGCTGAGTCTCAATTGGCAACAGGTTGGGGAATGCCCCTGGCTTCAGGTCTGTGTGAGCATTAATTTTGGCAGGCGCTGCGTGTGTGCATTCATTACGGTTGACTGCCCCAGGCAGTTGGGGTCGCCGGCTCGCGCCCAACCCCACGCAACCCCATCTAAACTGTTGACAGTCCAAGCCTGCGTCAGTCGCCTGTGCGTTCTTACCTTTAACCCTCGCAGGTCAAATGCTATCGTCGTCATAGCTGCTGTCACTTTGCATTCACGTTGTTTACGCATCGGCAATAGCCAAAAGGTGTACACGCTCTCCCCCATGCCCTAATGTCCCCATTTCCCGTGCTCTCCCTATATATGAACAACTTTTCATCTATTTTATGGCTTAAGCAACTAATTTGCAAAATTGAGAGCAGACTTTGGACGACACAAACTTATGCGACCTGTTCGCATTTCATAGAGAAATAATAGTCCGTTAATTTATTAATCTTGTACACAATTTCCGTTGTAGTTTCCGCAAGACGCTTAAGAATGAATGATAGACTCAGATCAAAGTCAAGGTTGCCGTCAATCACTTTAAGCATATCGCTTGCTAATTAAGCTTTCAGCTTGAAGCGGGTTTGTTAGACATTATATATTCAACAGCAGAGTTGTGGGAAATTAAATTAAATAAATATGATTTTGCTTTCATTCAAGAATGAATTTTTTGGCCTTTAGTTATCGATTATTAGTTTCAAATTAATTAAAATAATATGATTTATCAGATATTTTTATTCACTCTTATTCTATTCTTCGCATTAAGCAGTTTAAGTTTAGTCTCTATGAAAAATAAAATATTATTTTATATAAAATATCTCTGTCCAATTACATTCCATTTCTCTACTAAGCAATTGTTTTGTCTCTCTCTCTTTCTCTCACGCACAGAAGATGAGTTTAGCAGTCGCTTCATTAAAGCTTTTAAAAGCTTTTTTCATGCAAATAAAGAGCAATTGCATTTTATCTCTGTAAAGAGAGTGAAAAAGCTCAAACGATCTCGTTATGAATGAAGAGTTGCTTTTGGGAAAACAATAGCTAGGGGATGCCTTATTCTTAAATGGAGCATATTATGAGTAATAGATGATACTGGAAAATGAAGATAAGATTACGCTTATTGGCAAATATTTACACGGCTTCGATATGAAATACATAGTTGCCCATCGACATGGACAATACACCAAAAAAAACAAAGGCAGAGAAAGAAAAGGTTAAATGTATAGTATAACATAAATAAGAAAAAAATCAGTATAAAGCATTTATCTTCATTCAGACAAGTATTTAGTTCTGGTTCTCTGCATAGTAAACTTGTCAAACGAAAGTTCGATAGGCATCCTTAATAGCTTAACTATTAAGCTAACTATTTAAGTCTTTAGTGAATTCTCTGAAATTCACCCAAGTATACCTAGATATACAGACTACGATCTCAGCGATCGCTGGCTAAGGTGTAATGTAAAAAAAAAAGATATGAAATATTATCATCTATATACATATATACAAAAAAATAACTTCAATCGCAAACAACTTCATTATACCCATTTCTGGGATCAGTTACAGGGTATGCAATACCAAAAATATATATACATATGTACATATACAATATTCTGGGGCAATTTTCGCTTAAGCATTTCGATCTCACAGTCAGTACACATTAGCACCTCGTCGAGCACGGAACGCGAATAACGGTAGACTGGCTGGAAAAACTCAGCGGCAAGTGGAAAGCAACGGGATCGAGATCGAGAGAGATCGGCGCAGAGACGGAGGTGTAATAATTTGCACGTACTGCAGACTGCGTGTGTGTCGGTTTGAAAAACAATTCAATATTTTGGAGATTTCCAAATAAACAAAGCACAGAAGCCAAGAGGCAGCGAGAAAGAGAACGACACAGAGAGAAAGAGAGAGAGACGGGGCACGCCACTTGTCCGGCCGAAAGAAGCTGCCTCTGGCCTGCTGTCGGCCAGCAGATCAAAAGATTAATTGGAAAATTGCATGAATGAATTGTCGAACGGCTGATGTGAATGCTATGGCCAGATTGCTTATGGTCAACCAATTAGTTTATTTTGTAGGCCAGCAGAGTGTAAACACATCAACGGAATGGAGAATGTACGCTTCTCCATCATCGTAAGTGCCCCCCTGCCCCCGTACCCAACCAGCCCACCCACCCAAGCAGTCTCGGCCAGTCTCTCTCGGTATGCAACGTTTGGTTTATTTGTTTTGGCAGGAAAACGATCTGAAATGGCAATTGGAGAGTGACGCGGCCGAGATGCAGATGCTCTTTGATAAGCGCAGCATTTCGAGCGAGGCCAACAGCGACGCCGTCTTCAGCAACGAGGCCCACGAGATTTTCACACGTCAGCAGCAGAGCCAGGTGCTGTGGCAGGCCCAGGAGATCGAGGAGACGCTCTGCGCGGTACCCAACGGACGGCAGATCT